AAAGAGTGTTGATCTGCGAGTCAACAGACCTGAGTTTGAATCTCAGTTCTGTCATTCACTGCCTTAAGGAATACCTTCCCTACTCATGCCCTCAGTTTCCTCATAGGTAAGATGATAATATTGCATTAGCTTACTTTTAAAGTTCTGCATATGCTTTCATCCTGATATAGCTTTTCAAATGTCAGGTAGACCAGTTTGCCTCAGGATAGAATAGCTGAAAGACAATAATGCAAGGGTATTGGGTCTATGTTATGAAAAGGATTGAATGCTGGTCCTGGGAGCCTGAGCAGGCAAAGAAAATAGAAGCCAGGCCCCAGGCCCCAGCCCTGAGGTTGTACATTTTTCCTGGTTCCAATTTAAGAACATGAACTTTGCAATCAGAGCTGCCTAGGATGGGAACCTAGCTCTACTATACACCAGTAGTTCATTTAAATACTCATGCCACCTCTCTGAGCCTCGGTTTCTTCATCTCTAAAATGGGATTGAAAGTAAGTAACTCATGGGGCTGTTGTGAAGGTTAAATGAGATCATGAGCAAAAAGTGCCTATAGGTATGTGACTTTCCTGTCCCCTAGTCCCTTCTCCCCATTGCTTGGTTTTAATTAGTCTTTGCTGACCAATTACTTCTATTCCTTCTTTTCCTTCTCCTTCTCCAAAGCAGGCTTCAAAATATATCCAGAATTCAACCACTTCTCTCCATCCCCAATGCCATTCACCTGGATTATTGCAATAGCCTTTTAATTAATCAGCCTGATTCTATTTTGCCTATTTACAGTCTATTCTTAATCCAATAGCCAGAGCAATCCTTTCAAAACTTAAGTCAAATCATGTGACTTATCTGCTCAAAACCCTACATTGTCCCCCTACCTCACTTAGAGTAAAAACTTAGAAATTAAAAATGACCTACCCCATTAGCTTTTGGACCTCATCTATCTGTTAGCCACACTTTCCTTCTTGCTACTTCTTCAATAGAAGACAGACTTTTTACCTGTTGTTCCCTCTGTCTGGATCCTCTCCTCATAGCTCACTCCATCACTTCTATATTTTATTTAAATATCATTTCTAAGTAAGGTCCTCCAGACCACCACTTGTTAAGGTGCAATATCCTCCAGCATTCCCTATTCTCCTAATTGCTTTCTTTTTCTTCACAACATTGATTATTATCATCTGACATAACACAAAATTTAATTACTTACTAGTATTTCTCCCCTTGAGAATATAAGTTCAATAAGGTCAAAGGCTCTGTTCACTATTGATATCTCCATGCATAGAATAGCACCTAGCACTCAAGAAATATTTGTTGAGTAAATTAATGAATACAGTGGTCCTGTGCTGTGTGCCAAGTGTTAAGTTAAGCAGTTTGCATACATCATCTCAGGAAATCCTGCCTTGTAAATGCAGACACTGTTAGGATCCCTATTACACAGGGGAAAACCCTGAAACTCCCAGAAGTGAAGTGATATTCCCAAAGCCAAAGAGGGATTAGTTAATGGAGGTGCCAGGTTGTGTTAGACTTCATAGAGGAGCACATTCTTTGAATAGGAGCACAGCCTGAAGTAAAGGCTGTGGTAGGCTTTGGGCGGGGGAAGGGGTGAGGGAGCATGTGGGTGAGAAGGAATCCTGCAATACAAATTGGTTTTGTCATCAGGAGGTGATCTGGCTTCTTGAAGCAAAATCTTGAGTTCACTGGCATCTACTGGCAAGTGCATGTCGTTTTCAACAATTGGAGCTTTACAAAGGAAGTCTCCTCAAGTGTGAAAGAAAGTTGGGAGCTTCAGCTGTCCTGGACCTGAGACTGCAGGAATTTGACTCCTTGGAGTACTGGCAGAAAGAGACACCCAAGCAAGACTAGTGAACTGAAAGGGAAATTAAAAAGCCCACTACCCACATGGGTCTTCTCCTTCTTTCCTTCCTTTTTTCATAACCTCCTCTCTTCATCTTTCTTTAATTTGTGCATATTTGTAAAATATCCAATTTATTGTGTGCCTAATGTGTGCCGGACTGTTGTAGACATGGGGGATAGAGCAGTGAACAAGAGACAAACATCCCTGCTCTGCCTTCCTAAGGTTACTTTCCAGTAGATGGCAGGCCGGATTAATTGGATGTTTTACAAATGAATCTCTGTGAAATGAATCTCTGTCCTTAGAAACAAAGCTCTCCTCCTGGTGGAGGGGGCGATGAGGAGAAGGGTATCATGGGCCAGTGCCATGTGGAGTACCCGTGCCAGGGAATGTGGGCAGAGGGGATACCAAGGATGCAGACTGGGTGCGGGAAGATCAGCGTAAAGAAACCGCGGGGTAAGGACCAAAGAGCAGGATTTGGCCCTGATTCTACACGTCTCCATCTCACTTTGGAGGGAGCTGCTCAGAAACCTCTGGAGGAGCTCCCTTCTGCCTCCAAAAGCGCAAAATTAGTGCTATGGGACCATATGGACAAAAGCAAAAAAGATGAGATAGAAAGGCCCAGGAGCTCTGGGAGAGGGAGTGTAGAGTGAACAAGTCGCTGTGAAAGTGAAATGGCCGTTCATTTGAATGCAAATGCTATGTAAAAGCCTAAAGCCCCTTGACGTCAGCCCAGCCATTGGGGGCCCATCTATACCGGGCTACCAGTCACCTGGAAACCGTCAGGGTAGGAAACGCCGATGGAGTTGTCTGAGAGGCGCGGAGGAGCTTGCAGCACAGCTACGGCCTAACCTACTGGTTCCCTACTGCTTCTCAAAGTCGGGTTGGGGCCTTACAGGGACTTCAGGATGGCTTAGGGAGCTCCTTTCTCACAACCAAGCCACTATGTACAGAAGCTGCCTTTTGGAAAAAGAAACGGGCATGTACTCGGGCACTCTCAGGAGCCCTGCAGGAGGTGGCACAGCCGGGGCTGGCGCCACTGGGGATGGTGGGAGTCCGATGCCAGCCTCCAACTTCGCAGCGGCTCCGTCTTATGCGCACTATATGGGGTATCCCCATATGCCCGGTATGGATCCTCACGGGCCATCGTTGGCGGCCTGGGGGTCACCCTATAGTCCCCCTCGGGAAGACTGGAGCGTGTACCCCGGGCCGTCCAGTACAATGGGCACAGTGCCCATGAACGACATGACCTCGAGCCCTGCTGCTTTCGGCTCGCCGGAATACAGCAACCTGGAACCCGCAGCGGGTGGAAACAGCGGTAGCAGCCTGCCTACACCAGCCGGCGGATCACTGTTCCCAGTCGACGCCTGCACCGCCGACGCCACTTCTAACAGAAGCCGCCACAGCCCCTATGCGTGGATGCGCAAGACCGTGCAGGTGACTGGTGAGTAATCGATTCCAATGCTCTCAAACTTTTCCTTCCTTTGCTTCTCATCTACTTCTCTTGGCCTTCTGGCCCTCCTACTCCTCAGGCTTCTCCCAGGACAGCTTAGCTAAGGAGACCATTGAGTGTCTTACTGCCCAGGGCGCCAGCCCATTAGTGACCTCCTTTGCTTGTGCCTCTGTTCAAAAGCGGAGCATGGTGCTTGGAACTAAGCCGACCGTAGGGGACTTTTTCACCATTTTCTGATCAGTCAAGGGAGCAACTGGGCGGACAATGGGCATGTTGACCCACAAGGGTCAAGATCCAACCGTGCAGTTGCCCAGATGGGAAAACAGATGCACGGGGAAGATCAGTGGGTGAATGAGGAGAGGACAGCCACGTGTCCCTGTGCTCAATCACTGCTGCTTGCCCGTTCCATTTCAAACCCTTCCCCATTTGGGCAGGTCGGCTTCCCCCTCAAAGCTGGTGGTTCTCAACTTAGGTTCACGATGCTTGGTTGGCAACAGACCCTCCAGTTTAGCCACGAAGGCCCCAGTGGCAAAGTAACCTGGTCACCCTGGACTCTCAAGGAAGCTCCAGCTTCTTTCGCCCAAGCTGGCAGAGGCAAGCTGGATTCAAACCCAATGCCTTCTTACAACTTCCCTTCCGCCAATGGAAGTATAGAGGCTGTGAGAAAGCTACAGTACACCACTGGGACATAATAAGCTACTCAACCCTAACAGCCCCTGTGCGTGCACGAATATCAGCCCCACATCAATAAGATTAAAGTAATTAAAGCCCTCCTAACAGTCAGGCAGGCGTATCGAGGTGAAGGGGCTGGATGCAGGCTTGTCACCACACATAGGAAAGCACAGAGATCCCAGCCTAATGCCTACCCACGCTCCTGCCAGCAAGCCAGTGGGCGGCTACTGGGAGCCAGGGGCGGGGGAAGTGGGTACTCTGCTTTAATCTTGGACAGGGGGTGGAGGAGGGAGGCGGGGAGATGTTTGTTTTCAGCTATAGTTGTTCTTTTATCACATTCTTATTATTCCAACCTATCACTCCCTGTCATTAGAGAAAATTAGTAAAATTCAGCTCTATCACTTTCATCCCTCTGGGGAAGAAATGACATTTCAATAGCATTTGTCCACAATGATTATGCTTCTGCTCACAGTTCTGCCCTTTTTCTCTCCCTAAAAAAAGCAAAAGCAGGAGGGTGGGATGGGACCAACTTTCACCGTTAAGAGGACTCAGCCCAGAGGAGATAGTTCCAGTTGGTTAGGACATTACTGGGGTAGCAATCCCAAATTAAGAGTTGAGCTTAAATACTTAGCTTTAAAGTGTTTGGAAGTAAGTCTGCATATTGCTTTTTGAAATAAGAGTGAGTTGGCTGGCTAAAGAGAATAGAAAATGAGGTTAGGGTGTTGTATTTCCAGGGCTGTTATTATATCTAATCTTAAGGTTGTAATTAACATCTATTCACTAAGCCCTAACCATAAGCAAAAGACACAAAAGCCAGAAAAGTAGCTGCTCCCAGTTCAGGATTATGTTTTGAAATACTTTAGAAGAGGAAAGTCACTAGTATGTTCTTTGGAAGAGAGAACAATGGGAAGAAAAGGACAAGATAAAATAAATTATCTTGAGTCATGAATTTTCTGTTTATGAGAGAAAATATGGTGGGTTTCTCTGCTTAAAAGTCTTTCATTTGCATTTGTCAGATTCTCTCTTTTGGGTAAGTTTAGAAAGGGACTCTAAATTGCTCTGTGGTGTCTTCATCAGTGGGTGAATGAGGAGACTCTAAATTGCTCTGTGGCGGCTAACTCTTGAAACCTGGTGTACAATGCCACCTTCACAAGATTTTCTCTCCAACTTCTATGAGAAATTCTAAATTGAATGATTTTGGTACCCCATTGACTTCTGGCAGCCTATCCTATAGATGGGGCTTTATTAAATTCAATCTCCATTTCATTTTAATGTCTTATAAAAGTATCCCTTTATTATATTCTTGTAGCCTAAGGTGTATATTTAGCAACAATTTAAGAATGTGATGAAAAGTATGGACGCTCTCCCCAGAAAAATGCACAAAGGCACAAATGCGCATGCACACACACACATGTCATTTTTTGAATAATTTTGGGAGATTCATGGATCCACTGAAGCCCTTCCACGAATCTCAGGTTATGAACCCCACAAAAAATTAAGCTGATCACCTCTTTGTATCACTCCAAACAAAAAGACACCCATTTGTATGCTTAGTACATAGTGAGTGTTAAATAAATATTTGTTAAATGAATGAATAAGTCAGATCCTCCTAAATTTTCTACTTCACTCTGTAGTATTGAAGGACAACATTTGACTTACGGCTGAGAAGAAAATAGATGAACTACAAAATTGAAGTAACCCCTCCCTGATTATGGTAATCAAATGAAAGCTCTTTCCATCACTGATGAATGTTTTTAAAATAGCCTTAAGTTAAAGAAACGAAAATACACATATTAGGGGACAATTGGAAAACATTTCATAGTGATTATTGTCATATTTGATTTTCAAATGAAAGAAAGGGGACTGACATACAGAATAAATGAATGTCCACTAAGTGATTTGATTTAAAAATGAAATATTTTTATTTCTACTTTTTTCCCTAAGTATTCTGTTCCAATACACTTCTGGTTTTAAAAATTATATGGAAAGGAAGCTGATAGAAAGATTCTGGGAAAAGTTCAGTATTTTCATATTTTAAATACTGTCAGTGCATTACAGCTAGGAATTTTTTCATTTTTTGCTTTTTTTTTACCCAGAGTTGTAACCTTGGATGAGTATCGGCAAGGTGGTAACCTAAGTAGGGCTGGAGAGGGGCTTTCTTTTTAGGTGTGGGAAAGAAGAGGAGAGAAGGAAGTGACTTTGAATAATTACGATTAACCCACTGGACAAAATACAAAACACTGAGGAAGTTATACTTAAAAGATTTTATTCAGTTAGGACCCTTCAGAAAATGAGTTACTTAATAATTCCTGAAGCTTATCATTATCTTTTTTTGTTTTGATCATTTAATTGGACAATTTTTATGAATGAATTTGGATGCAATTTTTAACTAAAAGCAGCAAAAGATTACCATCAGATGGAAAGTCATCATGATGGTGTCAATTACACTCTACTCCCTAAAGAAAGAGATTGGTTTTCATCCTCTTTACCCTCACTGTCATCATCATCATAACCCCTAGGTTTGAAGAGTGCTTTTCTGCCTAACAGTGCTTTCACAGCCAGTCTCTCAAATGAGCACATTTAGGGTGATGATGAGTCATCATATATAGTGACATGTGTTTGCAAACTCTGTAGGGATACTGTCTTCTAGGTAGTGGGAACTACAGAGGTTTGTTCAAGGCTTTAGGCAGGCGGAGGCAGTGAAATCCCCACCACAGGGCTATGAAGCAGCCCTGTAATACAACTTACGGTTTGTTACTTTCCTAAATTAACCCACAATAGCACCAGAGAAGGGGTTCCCTCACCCTCAGAAATGTTGTAGTTTCTGGGAGAAGAGAATAGCTTGAACAATAAAAGCTAGTGCTCTTAGTGCTTTGTTGATGTTTTAGTATGGAAATATGGCATTATACTCTACTAGAAAAATGTCCAAAACCCATTCAATCAGATTTCATCATTTAAGGGAAGAGGCAATGAAAGGGGTGGAAAGAAGACAGTTTGGGAGCAGGGACACAAGAGGAGAACCAGGAAACAGGAATTCATTTCTTTTTGTTAAATGTGCAGTCAATATTTCCCCCTGATCTATGTCTTCTTGAGGTTTGAGGTCTTATCTGTCAGATTGGGGCACCAGACTCTTTTTAACACTTTGCATGGCTTTGATATGCAGCTTGGCTCTTCCTCATTCCTCCTTTCTTCAGGGGTTATATTGCCGGAAAGGGTGAGGATTTTCATGGCAAATAAAGAGGCCTGGTCTTGACTTTATTGTCCTCAGAAGAAACTGCAAGAGGGGAATTTATGACCAATGGGGGTGGGGAAGGACTGCAACCTTCCAGAGTTCTTGAAGTCTGGTTATATTTACTGATTATCAAAGAGCGGAAAACAGACACACACAAGTTGAATTTTAACTTCTGCCCCAAGTTAGAATTTAAACACTTAGTCACTTTGGGATTAGGAAGGGTTTTAGGGAACATGTATTCAAAGATATATTTTGATTCTAAGATTTGAGGTTCTGGAAATAAATTAAACCTCAATGTTTTCACTGTGACCTCAAATATACATTGTGCCTTTGTAACATACCAAATGCCAGACCTTTGGTTTCCTAAATTCAGAAAACCAACTCAAGTTTGTTTTCTGTATCTGTGAGTCTGTTTCTGTTTTACATATACATTCATTTGTATTATATTTTAGAGTCCACATGTAAGTGATATCATACAGTATTTGTCTTTCTCTGTCTGACATTTCACTAAGCATAATATTCCCTTGGTCTTTCCACGTTGCTGCAAATGAAACTAACACAATATTGTAAATCAACTATACTTCAATTTTAAAAATGACAACAAAAAAATACAAAAAACAAACAAACAAAAAAGAAAGCCAGCTTAAAATTTGAGCCTTTGAGACAGATTGACTGGGATCCATCGTTTTCCATTTTTAAGAGGGAAAGTTTTGTTTAGTTCTTTAGTCCATGTGTTAATCCTAAAACATATCTCTCATCTAGAATTTGTTTCTACATTCATGTCCCTTGTTTTTTCTCTCCTGGAGATGAAAGAG